GTCAGCAACAAGTCGTTGGCAACTTTCAGCTCGTCACCCTTTTCTCTTGCAATTTTTCCTGTTTCATATTAAATATTGTGAAGTCTTTTATTTTAAATACTGACAAAATTCATTGTTACATTAGCATTGGTGGCCAACTGAACCCCCCTCCTGATTAAACAACATGGACCGTTCATCGATACCACGGTCTTGATACTTCCAGTTCTGCCCTATCCCCGAGGATACGTTAGGTAAAAAAAAAAGGAGAACAAAAACAAACAGCCAAATTTATTGAAAAAGAAATCCTGGACTCAATCTTGGAAGGTTCAACATTTAACGTTCAATGTCGGTATGTGACTGGTTCTGGCGGCGCCCCATGAGGGATACTCGCTAATTGAAGAACTCCAGATGGATTCACACATGGATCATACGGAAATTCCGGTGATCGAAACCGATGAGCCGCTATTCGATGTCCTTCCCAAGCTGTTCAAGTAGGTCTTGTCTGCATTCTTGATTAAGCGGAATTAACGAAGCCCCCTGTAGCTTCATTAGCATGGCCGTGGGTGATATGGCTTACACATTTGAGCAAATGCTGTACGGATCCCAAGGACACCGTCTTAGACAACTGGTCCATGCTTTGGCAGATGATACTCACAATCCCTTCATCATTGTGGCATTGATGTAAGTTCACTATAAAGAGGATGCTGGAACTGGACTGATTAACAAATCCAGGATTCTGAAATGGGACTTCGCCAATGCGGCAGAGGATGACTGGGGACTCAATGAGAGCCGCGGTGCAGCCTGCGAATTTGTTGCCTGGCAATTCCTGTGCCACCTGAATCAGCGCGAGACAATTGAGTTTCTATTAGAAGAGCTACCAACACCACGGCGGGGTTCAGCAAATATCATTGAATTCGGAGCAGGTAGCTCTGGTCTGGCATCTATTCAAGGTGATACAAGCCAGACCGAAGGTGAGACTACTCCTCTCTTGCCAAACTCTTCTTTTTATCGTCTTTTTGGCGGCAAGAGGACCACAGAGACTCAATCCTCTGGCACCTCACAAGATACACACCGACATGAGGAAACCTATGCTGCCCAGAGATACTCCAAATTTTTTGGGTTGAATGCAATGGAGATTGCAACGATTGCCCATGCAAAGAGATTCCTCAGCCAGCGAGTTGTTCAAAGGGTGGTCGATGGTATTTGGAAGGGTGAAATCGTTTTCTGGGATTCTCTGACAGTCAATTCAACCAAGAAACCGCATATTTTCAACACAAGGTTAGACACGCTAAGCAATAGTATTGTGGAGATACTGACAATTTTCTTCCATCAGAACGGCTGATCCATATTCACGCCTGAGAGTACCTCTGTACCGGAAAATCTTTGAAGCAGCATTCTTCATGTCCTTCCTCTTTCTCTACTACGCAGTCCTGGTAGAGAGAAGGCAAGAGGCCGTTGGCATCTTCGAAGCGGTGATGTATGTGTGGATCGTCGCTTTTGCATATGATGAATTGAGTGGAATCATTGATGCCGGAGTCGTTTTCTACCAAATGGATTTCTGGAGTCTCTGGAACCTGAGCATAATTGGTGTTGGAATAGCATTTGTCATAACAAGTGAGTCACTGAGTGCTCAATCTGCTCAATCTGCCTTGCGGCTCATTATTCGCAGGACCTCTGTCTCAATGGAGCGACTAATAAGGACGCCACAGGGATCATCGGGCTAGCGAAGGGCAACGACCCCATTATTGAGCTCTCATTCGACATTCTTTCCTTGGAGGCTCTATTTCTTGTACCACGGTATGGCCATTGGTGGAATTGGTACCTGGGCAACAGGGCTGACACGGGATGAACAGGATCTGCTCGCTTGTGAGCTTGAATTCATACTTCGGCAGTCTAGTAAGGGGATCCTGCATGAACCATCATTGTTCCAGAAGAAGATTGGCTAACTGTGGCTATAAACAGATACCAGTATTGAAAGAGATGGTGCGATTTTCTAACCCTTTTCTCAAGTGGATTTGGACCCCAAGGCTGATTGACAATTTGTTTCAGACTAAAGCATTCTTCAGGTTTTTCCCGGTGGTGGTAGTATTGTATGTTGGTAAGTGTGGCTCAGCAATTCAGCCCTAGAGAGGTGAAGCATGTCGGAGCCGAATCGCTGAACCCCTGCAGGGTTCTTGACTACGTTTACCATGCTTGCGCGTGACCGCTTGTCGCTCAGCACAATGTCACATTTGTTAGTGAAAGTGTTCTTTGGGTACGGTGAAAGAATCCTTGTTGTGACCGCTCTTTTTTTTTCTCTTTCTTTTTTGACTGACCATTTGAAACAGATCGAGTGTTCTTGGATTAGTGGGTTGGTCCTTTTTTTTTTCTTTTTTTGGCATGTGCACTGACAGTGGCTGAATTGATTGGATATTAGGACACCGCGTCTGAAGTAAGTCTGCGCACCAAGCGGCTGTTCTGCAGCTCAAATTGCATTATCCCGGAGTATTGGCAAAATGGTTGGCTATCGTGTGAAGTTGACTTATACGCTAAATTTTTAGATCTCCCCAATCTTCGGCTATGGCTTGATGTGAGTTCCCGAACTTTTCTTTGACTTTTATTGAGAGTCGCATGTGCTTTTGATCACGTTCTAATATGCAAGTGACGTCTGGTTGCATGACTTTTTTTTGGGCGTCATTAGCACACGGGATTCTACTACAACTTCCACGCAGTAGTTTCCCAAGGATGTAGTTTGTATGCAAAAGATACTGACTGGAATGGCTAGGCTTACTTTCGCCCTCATGACCAATACCCTCATTCTCTCATCCTTGATTAGTTTGATGAGTATGAGTCTTGAAGGGGTAAGTTGACATTGTCTACTCCGTTCTCCGGACTATACAAAATAGTTGCGTGGCGATTAATTTCTTTTTTTTTTGTGATAGGTGATGCGCCATGCTCGAGAAGAATACCTTTTCCAGTAAGTATACAGACACCCCTGTCTTTCTGAAATTTAGCACTGCCCCATGGAAAATTCCATTTTGACTGACAAGCCAATCAGGTTGGCCATTTACGTCTTAGAAAGCAGCAACTCTCGACGATTGACATACTTCATGCCACCCCTGGTCAGTTAGCGTCTGATCCTTGAATGGAATCTTTCTTTGTATGTTCTGGAATATTTCCAAAGCTAACACGACATATTTGGCAGAATCTTATTCCCCTCCTCTGTATCCGCCCCATGCGGCTTTTTCTCTCTGCCGGAACAGTTCGCCGCGTACGAATTGTCTTGCTTCGAGCCACCCATCTTCCATTTATTGCATTGATATGGGCATATGAGTCCAAATGGCGACATTCCAAACGACAGACCAGTCTGCTTCCCCCAATGTCGGCACGCGGTCAAGGAACTTCTGAAAATCCGACTGGTCCTAGGTGCCAGGACCCACACCACCCCTCCCTAATTGAGACAAATCGCCTAGGCCCTGGAAAAGCACCCAGTGTGGATCATCAAGCCGCGCGTGAGCTAGACATGGGGCAAGTCGGGCAAGTACCGCAGCTTGCGGATCTGATCGACACGATAGAGCGACTGCGAACTCAAGTGGAGGCCATTGCCCAGCAATATTGATTACAATTACAAGACAACAAGACAATGGGAGCCGTGTTCTGTCGGAGTTTAAAAGGCGCGGTAGAGGGGTCACTGCCCTGGCGCTTAGGGGCACGCACGCCCCCTGCAGGACCGGACTGAGCGCTAGTCGGCGTCGGTTCACTTTAGTGGCAGAGCCACCTGGGACTCTCCAAAAAAAAAACCGTTCGATAGTCTTGTGAACAACCATATCGATGACAGCCTAATCCAAACAGGTTTGGTGGTTTTTTTTTCGGGGTTCGCTTTTTTCTCCTATTTTCCTTTCTTNTTTTTTTTGCTTCCCCCCCCCCCCCCTGTCCCTGGCGTTTCAAGATTGGCTCTCCTTTCCAATCAATTTCATGTTCAATGCACAGGGGAAAATCCAGTAAATAGTTCATGGCCATGAAGATTAAATTTGGATATATCATACGGATTACTCCGTAGAGAGCTACGGTTTGTCCGGGGGCGCGTCAATTACCTGTGGAGTCAATGTGGAGTTTCCGCGCTATGGTATACATGAAGCCAAAGGGATCGAACGGTTCGGAAGGGCCCGCATACTCTACTGAGGTCACGATAATTAGTTCCTGTTGGGATATTGATCAACTTCATATCCGATTCTGGACTTCGTCAGAAAATACATTCCCCACCGTCTCAGCATCATGCGGGCTGTGCTCATGGTCAACAGGCCCTGGACACACCAATGCACCTCGCCAAGCCGATCCAGAGACTCGGGCTCTCATGATGTTTCTGTATGGCTACTACCTGCATGGGACACGTCTCGGTTGGGCAGACCAGCCCAACGGTGGTGAAAGGGATGGTTAGCCTTTTCCAGACAAACCCAACAGCCGCCGTTATGCATTGTCATATCTTCTTATGTACTAGTAGTTCTTACAGGGTTATTACAATCTTTAAAAAAAAGTGCCCGAAACTAGGCCACAAATGCCATGAGTTACCCTAGGTGCCTATGACATAGTCTATCTTGATCTCTCCGGGGCTAACCCTCTGTGAGTGTGCACATATGCCAGACCTGGACTGCCATCGATCTCGGATTACCCTTAACCCCCCCGGCCCTTAATGCCCCCCCACTCGATTTTCTCTTCCACCGCAATTACAGACCCTTTCCTCTCCGAATCTGCCTTGTCTATTACGGCGTCAAGTCGTTCAATCTTCAACATTTGTCGGTGTCGATGCGGCGCAAGTTCTTCTCCAATGAATTCATACCCTATCCACTACCCTCCTCTCAGCCACCGATGTATGCTGCCGCTGTCAATCACCAACAGCGAAGCTGTTGACTCAAAAGCTTTTACTATATATACTTTGATTTATCGCCATTCTTTGTTCACTCTGATATAGACTAGCCTTTGGTTGGTTTGATGGGAAATATACACTTCATATTCTTTTATTTCATTCGCTTCTCTACATCAACATGAATCAGAATTTAGTTCCCTCAATCACATCCCCGCGAAGAGAGGATATACGGTCTCGCGAAACTTCCTCGGTATACTCTTCTCCCGTTTCTCCCTCATCCCAAGGTGGGATTTCCCCTATTGGTCTGGGGATCTCCCGCTGCGAAATCGAGAATGCATTCGGTCAACTGAGGGTCTTCCCTCCCACGCCTACACTGCCATCACAACTGATTCCTGGAGCGCCAAATCCCACCTTCGCATTATCCTATGATGACTATTCTAGCGGAACATGTTATCAACCAGTTTACAACGGACTCATCAACAGTACCTCGGAGACTTCACTAGGATTCTACAGCCCGCCAGCGATGAGCGCATCCCCCAGTTACAACTCTACCATGGAGGTTGTCCCTGGCCAGAATGTCTTTCCCAGCCAAATGACCGATATTTGGATGCACACGCCTTGCTCGGGACCGACAACGCCATCGGATGTTACTCCGGTGACTGTAGCGAACGGAGCCGCAGGACAATGGGACCAGACTGTCTTTCCGGATGCGTGTATTTCCTCGACGATGTCCCTATTGCCAGTCAACAATATTTCCTATCTTGGGGCAATGGGAGAGGAGATTGGATACGACGCATCTCCCGGACAAATCATCAACACTGGGCAAGTCGTGCCGCAACCTCGAGCATCTGCCGAAGGGACCGATGATGTCGCAAATTTGAGTCAAAGAGAGCGCGGCTCCTCTAACGACAGGCTAGTCTCTGCCAGTGGCCTGGAATGTCCCATTTGTGGCGCCAAATTCACGCGACGATCCAACTGCAAGGAGCACCAAAAGATGCACAACCCTGAATGGAAGAACAACCACCCGTGCGATGACTGCCACAAGACTTTCGGCCGAAGCTCGGATCTCAAAAGACACATGAACACCGTGAGTAGGAAGACCAAAGGGGGTCAAGAAGCAGACACTAATGCAGTCCTCTAGGTTCATCTCGGACTTCGGAGGTACAGCTGTGACTCTTGCGACCGGCGTTTCAGTCGCCAGGATAGTCTGGCTAGGTAAGGTCCCAGAATCTATATTCTCTTTCGATGTTTACTTGTGTACTGATATGAGATAGACATGATTGTATAGAGAAGCACCGCAACGCTGCGAGGTCTACCAGCCACGCTGAGCCATCTTCGCTCATGCCTAAGCAGCGCCAACGAGTGTTGAACCACCGTCGCTCAGCTAGCTAAAAGCACAGACAGCTACTCCCATGTCTGCATGTCTATATGAAATCGGAGGGAAATACCGTCCAGATTGGCTATGATTCTTACGGGTTGCATAGTTTTGCCATTACGGGGTCTGCTGGTCAGAGCCACGTTGAATTTGCTTTTATTTGCTTTTATTTACTGGGCTTCATGAGATGTGAGGTTCCTATTAGGATTCGCATATCTCACATGGCATGAAGTCCCATTTCCTTGGCGTTGTTGGATTGTTATAAGATGCATTTTGGTTGGAATTTTGAATTACTGTATTGCAGGTGGTCTTTTTGCTTTTTCGCATTGTTTAAATTCATCTCATTTGGCTATATCTTGATATATTACCCCGTACATATACATGTTCCCCAATTCGAATGTGATATCATTTGCATACAACCGCATGAGCTGGCGCGCGGGTAACAGGACTGTCAGGTATGTACGGAGTACCACATCCGATATCACCGCACTTATAGCTCAGGATCGGCATGGTGTTTATGACAGGGATTGTGCTCAATATCAAAATCTTTTGATAAGTACAGCATACATATGTATGAATGCAGGTTGATTTTAGACCAACAACTCACACCAGACCTTTTGCAAAAGGACATTGTTATGCGTGGAAATTGCACTTATTTCCACTTCCGAGAAGAGAAATTCACAGGAACTCCCAAGGGAACCCCAAGGGACCTCCAAAGGAACTTCTCCGACTCAAAAACTACCCCCCTTCTCCCCCTCTCCGACTCCTCGAGGCCCGTTGGATCTCGACTCTTGTCGCGCTCCACCTAAGAACGCCGAATCACACGCTAAAATCAGTGGGGATCTTCGACATTCAACATTCACTCGACGATCTTTGAAGGAAAAAAACTGGTGTGAAACAACCCTAACTCTCTTAGTGCTCTTAAGAGAGCTATTACTCTACTCTTCTCTTAATTTGCAAATCCCGAAAAAAAAAGCGCGAGTTCAAAGCTCTACACTTAGGAATTCACAGGGTATGTCTCACTTCCCCAGCGCTGACCTCTTCCTGCAATCTATTAATCCTTGCTCAATCACACGCTATCACGGGAAAAAAAAATATAGTGGGAATCCATTCTCGTATGTTCAATTGCCCTTTGAACAATATTAAAAACTCATATTATTGTCCACAGCTCCTCAATTTCACCCCGCTATCTCCACTGCTCCTTGAAGCTAGTCGTCTTAAGTGGAGACAAAAGACAACATTCAACCATTTGGAATTGGGCCTCCGGTGCAGCCGCGCAGGAGACATCGCGTCTGTTCGCCTATCTGGAAAATGGTCCGTGATCATAAACCACATCCGAATGGATGCCTAATATAGAAATCTTCGGTGTCGGCCAATTTGATCCTTGCCCCTGAGATTTTCTGTCAAGTGGGCCCGAAAATTCTAGTATTATCCAGGACGATAGGCTCTGAGTTGCTTAGGCGTTTACACTTCGTACCCTATCGGCAACCAGTTTCCTGTTTGTTCCGACAGAGGTGATCGCATTGAGCCGACAAAAAGAAAGTATGTTGTACATTGACTATGTTGTAGGTAAATAGATATGGCTGATGAGAAGCTGTCTCGGCACAATCTCGCTACTTTCTTGCAGATCCCTATGATTTCCATGGAGCTATGGCCCCAAGCTAGAAAGAAAAAGAAGGGGGAAAAAAAGAGGAACCGTCCGAGCTCGACAATATTGCCTAAAAGGCTCAATGCCGATCTCTACTACACCTGCTCTACTCCGTATCCGCAATGAAGGGGCAAGCCCAGGAATAGGAACAAAGGAATCCTTGTGTCTCAATGTTTTTGTGATGGGGCTCCCAATTTCAAAAGGGCTATCACAATCCTGCAATTTTGTCGCTCTTACTTCTGGGGGAATGTGTTTGGTCAATCCCATCACTAGTATAGCGCCACTACCACTACATACTCCATACTGCCAACGGCTTTGCAATCGGCCCACGGGTGCCTAGCCTGATCTATCGATTTATTCGTATAATCTACCCCTGAGTTCGGATTTGAATATTAGAAAATTCCGGTCATCTTCCGAGGTTGCTTGCAAGATGATTCTCTCATCTCTGCTGTTTGAGGATATATGCTAGCATCAGGGTGATATTCAAGGATTATCCCGATTATCAGTCAGATCGGTGAACATCATCGGAAATCTACAATATATGGGGTTGAATTACTGGGGTTTTGTATCATGATTCTGGGAGAACTGGATATCTGATTGGATGATCTTGCGCCATGGATATCAGCATAGGTGACTGCTCAGTCACACATCACACGAGCTACTGCGACTCATCACACTAAATACTTCGGACACTTCAATAGTTAGTTTATACCCCATACGGATTACAGGATATACAACATATGCTCTACTCCGTAGGAACATGTCTGATGCACCTGTGAAACCCGGTTGGGAAAAGAGACAACGGCTGCTTGCTTAATGGCATGTTTATCATCAAATGTCGTCGCCATAAAAATTGCAGACTAACACTGACTCTCCAAGTCGACGATAGAAAAATCTCGTCTTTCTATTGTCTTTCTCTCTTCAAAATAATCATTGCAGAACTTTTCGATGGACTGATGGACTTCCACGTATACTTTACCTGCCCAAGCTATCTGTTGTCCATTCTCCATTTTGTATGCCTGTGTCTCAGCAAGCATGAATCAACAACTTTATCTATCTCAAGACTTGATATGCTTCGTCTCAATAGGGGTCATTCCTAGGGAATCCGAGGAACTATCCTCCGTCTCCGCTTCCTGAGTCTGATTCCTATATCCCACAATCTCAGTTAGCAAAAGACAAGAACCCAAAAGACATACTGCACTTTCAAGATACTTACCCTTTTCTCAATTTCTCTCTTTTGTGAAGGAACCGAACACCGAAAGTACTGATAATCAAGATAACAGACAGAACGGTGACAGTGATGAAGCCCTTGCGGTATTCCGGCCCATCGACCTGCTGCCAGACCACAAGAGGCAGCCAGGCTTGGAAAACATAAGCCATTTCATTCATGCTTCCGATAACCAAGGATCGCTCTTCATTATCTTCAGAGCATATCTCATGTGCCCAGCTGTTGCAATTGTGTTAAATAACTGCATTGTAATATCATCAGGAATTTGTAAGACTTACGCCATTAACAGACCACTAAGTCCGTATCCAGCCCCGCTGATAATGTAACAAGTCCACTTCCATCCCATCGGAATATCCCAAACTGCGAGCGAGACGTAGCTTATGATGTTGACACACTGAGATACTGTTAGCACTCTTCCATATTACCTTGTGGGTTGTTATACTCACAGCACCGAAGATGACTGGGGGCCAACGGCTGCCGTTCAGGACAGTGTCCGATATCCACGCGTACGCGAGGGTTGTTACAACTTGAACCGCTGGGGTGGTGGTTGGTATCGAATTGATCTTGCTGATTGAATATACAGGATCTTTCGAGTTTTTGAGGAACCTTTCAGGAGTTAGAGTAAGCTTGCCAATGGTGTCCAGATATTACTCACTGTTGGAAGATAGGCTGACTTCCAGCGGCACCATTGTTGAAGCATCTAAAACGTGTGAGTCTTTTCATTTTAGATCAATCAGGTATTCAACTCACATATAAAGCAAGGTTAGAAGATAGATATGCCACGACGTGAAGATTTTCTTCAGCTTTGACTTTGTGTATGGCTCTCTGTTCTGCCTTCCTTCTAATTTCATTCTCGTTTGGGCGAGATTAACCTCCTATTTTGATGTTAACATGTGCATACAATGCAAGGGGTTGAAATAGTAAAACTTGCCTCTTTACTCAAATACCATGGATCGGAAATCTCAGGTACATCGGGGAGGATAAAGAACCCACTAATAGCAACGGGCAGGGAAATGACCCCATCGATAATAAACAGCCTTGGTGCTAGTTAGTATATGACCAAACTTTGAGACTATGCCAGTTTAGTTACCATTGCCATCCCTTGAAGCCTCCTCGTCCTCCAAGATGATAAACAGCGTCCATCAGATAACCAGAAAACATACTGGCAATTCCGCTACTCGTGTGAAAGATGCATGACCGTTTTGCCAACTCGTCTTTCCGGTACCATGAGCCGATGATATATTGCATTCCGGGATAGAAAGTACTTTCAGCGAGACCTATCGTGATGCAATGTTAACAATCCACTGTAATAGAGTGCTTGTTATGTTTGGCTTGCCTACCAACGAAAAATCTCAGAACATAGAATTGAGTAGGGGTGTTACACCGGGACAGCGACATTGTGAGGACCGTCCAGAGGAGCTATTACGGTGTAAGTATACAGCTCTCGCGTAAACAAAAGCAAACCGTCTTACCTCCATAGCTGGAATCCAATATCTCGGCTTGATGCGAGTTAGGAGTATATTGCTGGGGATTTCTCCAATAACATAACCGATGGTCCAGCAAGTCTGCATGTAGTTGAGTTCGTTTCCGTACATGCCCAAATCTTCTTTCCTATAAGTTATAAATATGAAACTCTCAAGATTGGAACATTGACGGGGTACCATACATTCCAGAGACAAATGCATTGTTGATATTGATCTGATCCAGATACTTGATAAAATATCCTAGCATTTTTTAGTATTATCTGGGAGAGATACTTCAATTGAACTTACCCAACGATGCAAATGTTAGAATGGCCGAATCCAATTTGAAAAGCAAGCGACGCTCCTCCGGTGACTTGTCAAATGTGTCCCAAATGTAGCTGACCCATTTGCGCTTCGGTTCTTTCTGAACTATCTGCGTCGCTGGATCAATGTCCGCTTCAGCGGGGGATTTTAACGACATGGTGATGTCTAGCAATGCTGAGGAAAAAAAATTGACATCTTAGAGCCCTTGGACCATTCTTATAGCGCAGAAAAGCTCTCAAGTCTGACAGCAGATCAATACTAGAGACGTACTAACTTGGCGAGGCCATCCTAGCGTTGGCTTTTGTTAGAGCAGCTCTTATCGGCATAAAAACGGAGACACATCCGGATTTAAGACGAGTGAATCATGCATCGTGTTTCTAAGCTTATACTCCCCACTGAGCGGGAGCTCTGCATAGTAGGTCGAATTATCGGACGACTTGTTCGCGCAATTCCTGCAAGAATTTTCAACATAATCCTCCAAACACAAATGAGATGCCTAATCAAATCAGAGCGTTGCCGACTTCGGGGATGATTTGTTGTATTGATGTTGCCATACCACGCTAGAAACTCACCATCGCCCGTGTGAAGCTCGTCATACACCTCGGGGAGGGGGGGACCCCTCAAAAGATAAACACGTGTATTTTCATATCAGATTGAAAGATGTTATACTCCATATGGGCTTCCTTTTTACCAAAATATATAGTGTTCCTAGCATCACTGGCGCAGGATATTCTATCAACTGTGGGTAGTACATAGTCCTAGGAACATCTCGAGGGTCCTCTGTGTCAGTTTTTAGTTGGCTATTGGGGCGCTGCGCAACAGATTTCCCCTAGTATTGATAATAGCATATGACACATAAGTAGAAAGCGATAATGAGCATTGAACATACGATCACTTACACCGGCTCCGAGGGCTTTACTGCTGACCAATAACCCGGGATCATGAGAATGTCCCGAATACACGTATATGCGGAGGGTGCAGTCGTTTGTGAACACTTGCAGAAGCTTGCGGTCCAAAAAGGATTCCCCTCTTGCTAGTGTCGTGGCCGAAGCGGAAGGCCATAGCACTCGGCAATGGGCTCGTCCGTATTGGCCGAATCTCTGGACGCACCCACAAGGATTTGGAGTCGGGGGCGGGTGTCATCCGTATCGGACTTGGTCTGCGTACTCATGTTCTTGCCTTTGTCATTGCCTATGCCTGAGGGCCCCACTCCGTAACATCAAGGTTATTGCTAGCTCAGTGGAAGGCCGTTACCGTGATCTTGCCGTACGCAGCATGGAGATCAAATCGGAATAGATGAACATGCTTGACCCGGGTGATGGACCCACAAAGGCATGCATAGGCCTTAACGCTCAAGCTGTGGGGTTTATTGTCCTATCGTAGATGAAGATATCGATTTGTAGCCTGTTTGTTTAAGTTGATATGTATTATCAGATGCAAAAGGGGAGAAAATCATGGATTGAGCTATCTGTCGGAGAGGACAATGGGAAAGAAGCAAGGTCGTACCTACCTGAGGCAGAATCTCTAGGGATACAGCTTTGAAGTAGACTTCATCACAAGAACAAACATTCGGCCGCTTATGAGGCCATCTGTACTTGATGAGCACTTGGATACTTGAACTCGATTGACTCCAGATGACGGACGTTATATGGAACATACTACAACGGTGCCTTTTAACATATTCTTTCAATATCTATCTTCTCATACATGTCACGCAGTCACTCCCACCTCCAATGGGCTCTTGAGAACATCTGCCCGAGAAAGCTTCCCTTCCAGAATCAACTTAAGTCTCTCGCCCAAAGCCACTCTTTCTGTAATCCAGGTTTGAGTATGACCCTCAATCAAAGACAATCCACGCTCAACTCTTCCAGTATTGACCCATCCAATCAACTTCTCGACATAAGGTTGCTCTTGGTCTTTGAGTGAATGGAAGCTCCGTCCAAGCCCCTTCTCTTTGATACGATTCTCATATTCCGTCCGGAGACTCTCAGTAGATGGAAGCTGCGCAGTCCCAGATAGGAAAGCTGCCACCGCGATGGCTTGGAACTCGAACAAAGAGAACGTCGCGGTGTAGAAAGGAATGCCGACAAATGCGAGCGTGGGATCCGGGATATAGAAAATGTCTTCATGCAAATTGTGGACTTGAGTGCCATCTGTAACAAGCACCTTGTCATTTGCCTCGGCGGCAGACGCACCGTAGTCGTTATATTCGTCAAGGAATGGAAGTGCCATTTGGTATCCTGTGCAAAGAATGATTGTATCTATGTCGTTCAAGGTCTCCCCAGACTTGAGATGTACGGTTAATGGTAAGTGCTCGGTGCTTGCGGATGTTGATGTAGAAATTTCGAATGCTTCGACCTCGGCAATTCTTGAGGCGTTTCCAGGAAGTGCACTCGCGGGAAGATCAAAGGCACCATTTCGAGTGCTTTGGTATATGTGGTGTGCGGTTCCACTGATGTCAGTGGCTATGTCGAGAGAAGAGACGCCTCCACCAAGCAATAGTACATTCTGTAATTTGATTAGCCCAGTGTCACTGAATACTAAAGTGCGTTCACTCCTACCTTTCCTTTAAATCCTTCAGACCTTCGGAAGGACTTTGAATGGAAGATCTTCTCGGGCCATTGAGCTTTCGCTTCGGGTAGACCCCGTATATTCGGGACGAGAGGCGTATGATAATGGCCCGAGGCAACAATGACCGAGTCAAACGTCTATGATCCAGTCAAAACCACCCCTGAAAATAAAAATTGGAAGGTATCATAGAGATAAGAACTTACTGCAGACTCCCCATTCTCAACGGGATCTTGACCTTCGCTCAAAGTAGTCCAGTGAACTGTCCATGTCGGCCCGTCCTTATGAACTCGGGTGACTCGGGCGCCAAACTTGGTTATATTATCAACACCGGCCTTGCTCGATGTATCTTGTATGTAATCCTTGAGCACATGATGCTTCACAAAAGGACCAGTCCCTTCTGGCCATGTGTTAAGTTTTGTCTCTAGTAAGGGTGTGGAGACATTATTGGTGAGACTTTCGTAACAAGGGCTGTGAGATAGTGAGTACAACTGCTGTGTAAAAAAGTAAGATTGAAGCCTACCCTGGAGGTGCATGAAGCAAGATCTTTCTTTCGCTGCCTTCCCTTGCATCTTTCACATATTCCTGTGAAGCAGACGGTCTTGGTGATGGGTACTGGGCTTCAATCGGAGCACGCTTATCATAAAGCCTACAATGCTTTAGTCCATTGTTCCGGATCAATAAAAAGACACAAGATCTTACCACACCCCACCAGATGCATTGTTTCTCTCAAAAACAGTCACTTGGATTCCAGCAGCCAGAAGATGGCCAGCAGTGACCACTCCGCTGATACCAGCCCCAATAACAGCAACTCGAATGGACTCACTCATGATGACTATCACAGAAGTGAAAAAAGCAAAGAGATAATTTGACTACACACGTCTACGAGGATTGCTCCCGCACTTATGGCCCCTCCAAACGACAAAATGGGCTGATATATCGCAATTCTTATCGGAACGACCGGCAGAGGGTCAGATATTCGAAATCCTCGTGATTTCGATCGTGGATTGTGACATACGGGGGTTCCCCGCTTACATTAAATACACACAGCAAGTAAAGATTGCACAATTTACATCGAACCCTGAAAGAGGGGTATGGGGATGCGAACCGGAGATAACTAAAAGTGACATTCGTGGCCCACAAAAGGCGTAATGGGTGATGACGATGATGTGCTCAAACCCCAGTACAACGTTGATCAATAAGGGAATCGACATTTCTAAAATATGTATATAGTACAGGCTTGATATCGATTAGAACTCATAGGAATTATACAAATCCAAAGATTCTCTATTATCATGGCTCCTGCTCCAATTGATTCACGTATCGTCGACGTCGTAGTGCCCAAGAAGGACACACTCGGTCTTCCTGGGCCTGCACGAGAACGCTTAGAAAAGGCGGGGGTTGATCTCAGTGACGGCTACCCGTACCGACCATCTCGTCCTCTCTATATTGACGATGTTTACAACGTACGGGACTATGATCGCGCCCATGTAGACCCCGGCAGCCGAGCCGATCCCGAGAAGAAAGCACTCCTATCCGCAGCCAAGGAAGTGATTCCGTTGACTAGGCACATCGGAACCGAAATCGTTGGGTTGCAGCTGAAGGATTTGACAGACCAGCAGAAGGATGAGCTAGGCTTATTGATTGCCGAACGAAGCGTTGTCTTCTTCCGGGACCAGGATATCAGCCCTCAACAACAGAAGAAACTAGGAGAGTGGTTTGGAGAGATTGAAATCCATGTATGTTTTGTCAAATCCAGCGAATCCACGTGCCAATCACCAACTGTGTGTGTCTTCTTTAGCCCCAAGTGCCCCATGTCCCTGGCATCCCCGGCGTGACTGTAATGTGGCCAGCATTGCAGGAGACAGAGAGACCAGCGAGCTTCCGTCGGCCGGGAGGAGCGTCCCGGTGGCATAGCGATCTCGTTCACGAGAGACAGCCCGCCGGAGTGACTCATCTTCATAACGACACAGTGCCGACAGTCGGAGGTGATACCCTCTGGGCGAGTGGATATGCGGCATACGAGAAGCTGTCACCGTTATTCCGCAAGCTGATTGACGGAAGGACTGCCATCTACCGCTCAGCTCACCCATACCTCGACCGTAAGAACCCGGAAGCAGGCCCTCAACACGTGGAGCGCGAGCACCCTATTGTTCGTGTGCACCCAGCTACAGGATGGAAGGCACTGTGGGTCAACCGGGCTATGACAGACCGAATCGTTGGGCTTGACAAGGCCGAAAGTGATGTGATTCTGGGATACCTATTCGACGTTTATGAGAAGAATCCTGATATCCAGGTTCGGTTTAAGTGGACTCCCCGCACGAGTGCATTGTGGGATAACCGGTTAGTCAATTTCCTGAGAAATCTTTTGGATTTGAAGCTTATTCTTCAATAGCATCACGATTCATAACGCAAGCTGGGATTATGAGGGATCTCAGCCTAGACATGGGACACGTGTGACTTCACTCGCCGAGAAACCTGTATTTGATCCAAATGCACCAACTCGGCGGGAGAAGCTGGGCCTTTTAGGACCAGAGGAAGTTGCAGAATTGGAGAAGTTGGCTAGTCTCCTTGAACTGAAGTAATCAA